ATACATCCGTACCTTTAACATATCGGAATATACTTTCAACTTTACAATGTCTGTATAACTGTTGTACACCACGTAAGTAGCCACGCTTATGCCTGCTCATACATCCTCACATGAGGTCATTCATGGATTCCTCTCCCTTCCGGCCTCACTAACAGGTGGCCTCCCTTACCACGACACGGCTAACAGTGACATCGGTGGCTCCGCTGACGTGCAGGACCAAAGACCTTGCCAGCGCCCACAAAACTGCTCGGAAGAGATGTAAGCTTCACATACACACATGCGCACACACACATGCGCACACACACACACACACGCACGCGCACATGCACACACACAAAAGCTACGTAGTAATAAGATACGCTGCCCAAACACACATTTGAACTGTTGTGTACGTGACGCATGCACGCATCAACCGCAAGAGACTTAGCTACTGATTTGGCGGATTAGGAGCACGAAACAGTGTTGATTGACGTAGAATCACACAAAAGGTTTTGTTTGCATACTCTTTTGTGAGTATTCCTTTAGTCCATTTCTCCTCCTTCATCTCACATTGTACTGTGATCCCTCCTTTCTCTTCCCCCTCCCCTCCCTCATTCATTAGCTATGGGATTATGCTCAAGTGCTGCGCGGCCTTCCCAGGCGACCGACCATCATTCTCAACCCTCCATCACGTCTTCCGATCTCTCCACACCACGGCAAACGACGGGCAGTACATCACTCTCAACGTGGACCCAAACTCTCCTTACTACCTCATGTCACCGCGCAGCAGCATCAACGAACCCGCGTCCCTATCTGTCGCTGACGACTGCACCCCTCTCATGAGTGCACATTGATGGAGAAACGTCTATTGAGATCGAAATCCTCCCCACCCAGATTGTCCCCACTGAGCGCTTCGCTGCACAATCCACAGAGATTGCCCATTTTCACTCGGCGAGCTACAGCTACAGCGATGCTGGCGGACTCCCGTGTATCACAGAGGAAGGAGAGGACGTTGATAACGAGGATGAGGAGGAGAGAGAAGAGGAGGGGGATAAAAGAGACAGCAGCAACGACAGCACCTACAGCCACGACAGTGTGAAATTCAGGAAACTCTCTGACAAAGAGGACTCCGAGGAGAGCCTCATTGCTGCCGGAGTGACAACCATCGAATTTGTGTGAAGCTATACGACGGATAAATCATTTCACATTCACTGTACCACCACATCAGTTTGTGCTCGGTTTTGTCCTTCTCCCCACCTCCAATTATACCACCGTCAACTATTCACTTGTCATCAACTAATACACAAGTATACAACTGCAACTGCAACTGCAACCAGCACACATTTCCCTCTCTTGTTCACTTTGCATCGATTCCGGTCTACTTTCACTTACGCTCTCTGCCACTCTCACCGCCATTCCATGAAGCACACACCCTACACATGCAGCACTTTAACTCTGTAATTCGTGCACTCTCGCTTTGCCAAACTTCCTAATTGACTCTCATAGTACCTAGTATGGGTGCCCTCTGTCCTCCTATATATGAACTAATGTCTAAAGTTTGCGACGTGATTTCCTGGTTTTTTGGTCTCTCATCTCCCTCCCTATTCCAGCACCGTTAAGTTTGTTGTTGTATTGGTTTAGATGAAACTTTGGCTTTATTGATATTTGTAGATGTATGGATGTGAATGTTATGAATGTTCAGTTTCTGAATTGCGCTTGAATACAAACAGTAAAGTTCAGACAAGTTCATTTTCCTCTTCCCTCTCCTCTTTCCTTTCTGCCTCCTACTTTCCTCTCTCCCCCTCTCCCTCCCTCCCTACTTCGAGCCCTCTCTTTAACAGAGACACCATCACGGGATAGACCTCTGCATACTGAGACCTAGCCTGTCCTCGCTTTCTCTTTGAATAGGCATCAAGAGTAGCCCTGCCATGCATGAATGTGTCGGGAGAAATGAGAGAGTTTGGTTCGCTAGTGTTTGAATCAGGGACCAGAAGCAACACGCATACTGCTCTGCTGAAGTATGTATATATACACATTATGTACCACACTATTAGCCCTGTTTCCACTTCTGCTTTAAACTGTGAAACTGCTTAAAAAACTTACAACAGCGGATTTTTTTGTAACTCATAAAAATTTAAATGCGAGTGTTTAAAATGTATAAGTTTTTCTACAGTAGTTAATGTATGGTTAGAACAATAGTGAAGAGAAGGTTCAGACATGCATATTATACGGTACCTATCTTACCCAAAAACTAGAATGAACGCAACAAACTCTTGGAAAGTAAACGAGAGAGTGCAAAACAGTGACAGCGATGTCGCATTACTGCCCATTTGGTAGGCCTACTTCGCTCGCCAATAAGCAGATTATTCCGATGCAAAAAAAATCTCAGCTCTCCACTAGAAACGTTAGAAATGCTACAGCGCAAGGGCCCTTGGGTAGCGCAGACTTCAAGGCAAAAGTAGATTATGCAAACTGCGTACAACAAGAAAGGAAGACTCACTGAATGAAGGCGAGTCTGTCTCTCTCAATTGTCTGTTTGTCCATCCAGTCAGAGTATGCCTTTTCTGTCCATCCCTTCAACTGTGGGCAAGTCATGTGTACTGTTAGAAAAAGGGCAAAAACTAGCAGGAAAACGTCACAAAATTGGGGTCTGTCATGTGACCCGGTGAAGGATCATGTGACCTGGGCAAGTCATGTGTATTGAAAAAGGACAAAACTATTATAGCAGCTTGGTGGACACGCTTGAAACCTCACCAATTAAGGTATTATAAGGTCATATTGTGCAGTGTGCATTTTTGGAATAAAATTTGATTGTGGAATTTCGACTGTCACGTGGGGTCTGTCATGTGACCTGGTGAGGTGATGTCATGTCAGGAGGAGCCCTTGAGAAGAGATGGTGGAGAGCGTAGCTGAATGGTAGCTGGTTGCCCAATCCTGATGTCTCCGACAGGGCGAGGTCCGTCTCCTGGAACAGAAGACGTCTGGAGGGAGGGACGGCTAAATTTCACTGAGAAGTGTACATACGTATGAATGTACTCTTGTAAGAATATCTTACCTACCAAGTCTTATGTAGAGGTTTGTAAGTCTTACCAAGCACGCAAAATTATATCTTACTACAGTCAAAGTTGATAAAAAAATCACGAGTTCATAGTTGCTGCGTAGCAATGAATCTCTACAGTATAGCATCTTGTGTAAAGTATTATAAGACAAGAAACACAATTTTACATAACATATAAAAATCATGTTTACAGGCGAAGGCTGCCAAATTAGATCAAGGAACATGACGCATACACTTGGGAAGCACTCGGCTAACAATTGCTAATGGACCATGCACCAACTAAAAAATCTTCCGCACAGTGTCCACAGTAAGCAACACGAAGGGCCTTAGTACAACAGAACACGAACAAGTTGCTAATGGATTGATGAGAGGTGTACTCAGAATAGTGTAGTGTTGTGCCAACTAACGTCGCACTTACCTGAGTGTGCGCAGCATCAGATACGGGCGACCCAGTTCCCCTGGTCTGGAACAGAACGGAGTCAGAGCTAACTCAATCTGTGCAGAGAGATGCAACACATAGCAGTCGGCAAGAGGGCATTAGGTATAATTCCACATGCAACCTCTGTTTCCACCATGCTAGGGTCACCTTGGAGAGCTGTTGTATCTGCAATAAGTATTTGCCAGGAGTTGCATAGATAGCGAGATTATGCATTACCATCAGGAATATTGACTACAGTACAGGTTTGGATAAACCCGCAAGTTACCTAAAATCTTAAGTACCCACCCATTCTAGGCTACCCTTTGGTTGCTAATGATGTAGTGTACGTGTTTAACGCTAACACTTGGAATTCAAACTCTGGAGTTACATTTCTTTCACAGTTGTCCTAATCCAAATGCTGTCCTGAACCTTGTCCTAATCCAAATACTGTCCTGAACCTTGTCCTAATCCAAATGCTGTCCTGAACCTTGTCCTAATCCAAATGCTGTCCTGAACCTTGTCCTAATCCAAATACTGTCCTGAACCTTGTCCTAATCCAAATGCTGTCCCGATACTCTCTTCGTCCTAATCCAAATCTGTCCGAACCTTGTCCTAATCCAAATGCTGTCCCGAACCTTGTCCTATCCAAATGCTGTCCGAACCTGTCCTAATCCAAATGCTTTCCCGAACCTGTCCTAATCCAAATGCTTTCCCGAACCTTGTCCTAATCCAAATGCTGTCCCGAACCTTGTCTCCTAATCCAAATGCTGTCCTGAACCTTGTCCTGATACTGTGTCCTGACTGACCTGAGCCATGTCGGTGGTGACCCTCATCTTCCCTCCCTCTCGCAGCGGCCGGAGAAGACAGACATGGCGGACAAACAGCTCAAGCACACGCTCACTCACCTCTCGAAGTCTGAAAATGAAGGCAGAGAAAATGACACAAATTCCGAAGAGAGACCAAGTCCAAATGCACTTCAATGTACTTTCTAAAGTGTTGCACCATTATTTAGGGTATATTAGAGAATAGGGTCCCCCTTGCGACCGTGAACCCTTGGAAATTAGTTTGATGTGCCTGTAAAAAGGTTTTAAACGTAAGCCCCAATTATGGTACACAAACGACAAGCTTCATGGGCATGAATAACTGAACTGGTATATACATAATCCTTGAAGCAACCTTAAAGAGTTTGCCGCTCATAAAGTAGAACATAATATTATGCGACTTACTGTTTCTCCACCTCAGCAGTGCAGTGGTAGAGAGACAAGTGCTGGGAGTGGATTCTGGCAGTGAATGCCTGCAGCTCTCTCAGGTATCCAGAGCAAGGCTGGTCTGGGGTACCCGATACTGCCATCAATTCACTGCACGTGCAATAACACACTAGGAACTCAGCTTCGTATGTCTAATGGACATTATAATTACGTTCCTTTGTTCTATGCTATACCCACCAGGCACACGTAGTAAAAAGCAAAGTGTAAGTACACCAGACGCACAAAGAAAAGCAGGCATACGTCTTTCCCCTAGTCCTGTCTTTGTCCTAATCTCATTTCAACATTTCGTCTTTCCCCACATTTCATTCTCCAAAATACAATGTGTCGTGTTGCCTAGTCTCGCCATGCCATGTCGCATAGCAAAGATAGAAATCCTTATGTCGCATAGCAAGGATAGAAAACCAAATCCTTATGTCACATAGCAAGGATAGAAATCCCATTGCAAAGATAGATATGTCGCATATCTTATGATGATTATTATTATTATGCTGCATAGCAAGGATAGTAATCTTATTCTCTCCTTCCTCCTCTCCCTCTCTCCCCTCTCTCATTAACGTCTTCCTCTCCCTCTCCCCACCTCCCAAAGTTCTCCTGGTGCATGCTGACGACTATCTCCTCCATCACTCTCTGAACTTCTCCAACAAACAGAGACACTACCGAACACATCTGAGCCATCGTACCCTGGGGGGTGTAAGTCGACCACAAATCAAAATACATCTGAGACAATAGTAAAGAAAGCCTATGATAGGCTTTTTATGTGAGTTGTGAGAATATTGCGTTTCAGCATTAGAGAACATAGCCAACAAACGATGTTAGCATTTCGATCTGGGTCAAACACACCTGTTCTCATTACGCATTACGTACTAAAGGCTACACTGTCATAGTAATAGTTTCTCTGTGTATTAATGGGATATTATGATTTGTAGTCCAACTTCAAACAACCCGGTGCTAGGAATATACGCTGTATTCTGAGCTGTGGCACATACCTCTAAAGCTGAAGAGATGATGCGGTGGGCATTTGGAGGCAGTGTAGATAGACTCAGTATGTGCTGTAGAGAGAGGATCAGAAGATACATAACTTAGCTTCCAATCTTGCATTGAACGTCTCACACAACTACAGTATGTTGTGTGGGTATGATGGTCCGTGGTACATGTCACATGCAGTTCATGGACACGTCATCGTGCAGTCATGGACACGTCATCTTGCAGTTCATGCAGTTCAGGTCAAGTCATGCAAGTAGTTCATACACAGGTCATCATGCAGTTCATACACAGGTCATCATGCAGTTCATACACAGGTCATCATGCAGTTCATACACAGGTCATCATGCAGTTCATACACAGGTCATCATGCAGTTCATACACAGGTCATCATGCAGTTCATACACAGGTCATCATGCAGTTCACACACAGGTCATCATGCAAGTTCATACACAGGTCATCATGGCAGTTCATACACAGGTCATCATGCAGTCATACACAGGTCATCGTGCAGTGTCATACACAGGTCATCATGCAGTCATACACAGTCATCATGCGTATACACAGGTCATCATGCAGTTCATACACAGGTCATCTGCAGTTCATACACAGGTCATCATGCAGTTCATACACAGGTCATCATGCAGTTCACACACAGGTCATCATGCAGTTCATACACAGGTCATCATGCAGTTCACACACAGGTCATCATGCAGTTCACACACAGGTCATCATGCAGTTCAATCACAGGTCATCATGCAGTTCATACACAGGTCATCTACATATTATTCCTGCAGCTCTGTTGCTTTGACCACATTACAGAGTTGATTGAGACTCTCGCCTTACACGGCAAAGTTGCAACATGTATGTATCATAGTCTAGTGTGAGCTGATATTTCACACGTCACGTACCTGAGAGACGAGGGTCGAGAAGGCAAAGAGAGAGTTGGCGATTCCAATATTCTTCAGTTGAGCTGCATTTGGAGGTCCCGACACTTGCACCGCATCCCTCCCTGTCATCAGCTGTGGTAGCCACACCCACCAATTAGGGGATAAGAGATTACGTAATGATTAAGGTTTTCTACATTCTGTGATGCAGAGTAAATATACACCACCAATTAGGGGGAACAGAGATTATGTAATGATTCCACACCCACCAATTAGGGGATAGAGAGATTATGTAATGATTAAGGTTTTCTACATTCTGTGATGCAGAGTAAATATACACCACCAATTAGGGGGAACAGAGATTATGTAATGATTCCACACCCACCAATTAGGGGAACAGAGATTATGTAATGATTAAGTGTGTTGCTAGCCACACCCACCAATTAGGGGTAAGAGAGATTACGTAATGATTAAGTGTGTTACTAGCCACACCAACCAATCAGAAATAGAGATGACATCATGGTTGTATTATGGCTACAGATTCATGAGATGAAGGAATTTGCACGTACCAACACACAAAAAGGCAGACTTGGAGTTTGTTTCCATTACCAAATGATCCATTTATTGTCCCACTCATTACATATGCAGTTACACACTGCAAGTGCACATAAATAAGTGGTGAAAGTGGGAAATCACATAACCTACATACACAGCTAGTGCAGACTACTAACCCCTCCCCCCTCCTGTGCGGCCACACGTCACAAAGCCAAGCGAAAAGGGAGGGACTAGCGGAAATCTATTACGCAAACCATGAATATCTTTCACATGGAGTAATATGTTTTAGATGTTATCATTCATGGTCTATTGAAGACATTACATCTCTAAAGCGTATTGTGGAGTACACTGAGTGGGTGTCACATGATCTTCATGGGGTAATGAATTCCCTATTAAAATTCTCGGAGACACAATCATAAGTGCAGTTTTAGCTAGCATTGCACATTTCTTAGCTAAACAGTGCGACAAGAGCCCCAGTCTCGACAAGAGCCCCAGTCTCGACAAGAACCCCAGTCTCGACAAGAGCCCCAGTCTCGACAAGAGCCCCAGTCTCGACAAGAGCCCCAGTCTCGACAAGAGCCCCAGTCTCGACAAAAGTGCAGCAGAAGTACACTGAAACAGTTCATAGACCGATTCGGAGGAGCTGAAATGGGACTCTATTCAACGATATTCCTTTTGGTGATGATTAGTGTGTGCTATGAATGGGGTAAGTATGCACGCCCATACGCGTTAGCCCTGCTTTGCAACCTTGTTCCTGTTTACATAGTACTACAAGCATGAGGTAGATACATAAAGTATTGCTGCAATGTCTGAAAATAGGTTTAAAAGAAGCTGCCCGGGTTCAGATTTCTTGGTCTGTCTTCAGTTGTAACCTGACTGACTAGAGAGGGGAGGGAGTATGCAAAAACCAAACATTTCAGCAGATTCAAATTGACCAATCAGATGGCGTAAAACGTTGATTCTATTTTCCAAGTGTGTGTTTCCGCCGCAGAGACGCCCGCCAAAAATGGCGTCTTTGATGGGGGTGTGGCAAGCTTCTGCGCAGAGAAACTCGCTCTGTCACAGAGAGCTCGCCGCGACGACTTCAAGCTTGCTGTATCCGATGGCTTCTTCGATGAAAGGCCTCTCTACGATGCAAAAAAAGACCTTTTAGCTTCCCCTGGCTAGAGCGAGACTCGCGGAAGACGGCGGACTCAGACGATTTGATGGCCAGCACGGCCTCCGTCTAAATAGGTTATACTGCTTGTCAATGGAAATACATGATTTAGACTGCCTCGGAGCCCTTAGTAGCATCTTCGCTGTGCTCAGACAGCTACAGCTCAGGGCCCCTCGTGCCGTCTAAATCAATTGACACGCAGTATAACTATTTATTCCCTCCTTGACCTGAGACAACAGAAAAAAAACAATCACCAGGTAAATTAAGAAACTCTTTGTATGTAACCAGGAGCTACAGGGTTGAGAACACGTGACTTTGTTCCTGAAGTACTACACTTGGAGGAGGGAGAAATGAAAACACTGAATTGCTCTAGCGATGATAATATACGCTGGTGTGCTGTGAATGCAAGTTACATCCACAAATTGAATACCACTTCATCATCCTCTTCCATTAATATTTTGCCCAATTCGACGTGCCCGAAGAAGTACCACACCATACCCCCTCACCAGATATGTGACGGGATGCTAGTCATCTGCATTAACAAAACATCGTGTGACATGTACAGCTACATGCACTTGGTACAAAGACCATACCTCATTAAAGTCGAGGAAAACAAGCCACGAAATCCCTTAGTAATTTACTTCAATGACAATTGTACTTACGAAGCTTGCAAAACGTTGCCAACACAATTTGCAATGGCAGCAGCTTGGCAAATACAACATCGTTCCCAACAATGTTATTTCTAGTGATGGGGATATTGCTGCACATGACACCTATCGGAACCTGAACACTCCCACCAGAGTACCATACATACATACTATGTGTATATTGTGCAGTTATTTTAATGTGTAAACAAGAGTTTTTGGCATGTTTGGAGTTTTCTACGCGCATTGCGACTACAGTTGTACGCTGTTTCGTTTTCTACGGTTTACCTTTCTAGTAAATATCGGCAGTTACTCAGCGCGTAGCCACTACAAGCTGGGAGTTTTAACGCATCAATAAAATTTGCTTTGACAATGGGCCTTGAACACACCAAGAAATATTTGTCTACACGTGCCAAAACATATGTATGTATGAATTTTTTAAGTGCATCACACCTGTGCCAAGGTTCACGTTGCTAGTAGGAAATCTGCTGTAACTCTCACATTGGTACAGGTTCTCGCCACACACAAGTACAGTATATATCTTGAGCCACGAGAAGATTTCTTACCGCCTGTTCACACTTCATGTTAAACAGCTGCATTGTCTTCTCTACGTTTCTGGCAATGACCCCAGCTAGGGCCCTGCTGGAACCAGCTGCTCCCAGCTCACTGGGGGAACAGAGAGAGAGCTGAGGGAAGGGTCGTTGTTCCTTCTCTCTCTCTCTAGCTATGTAACAGACGGGACAAACTCTACCAGAAGGGGCAATTCATTATCATGTACTTCAGTGTAGTCTGCGCAGGCTTCAACTTAAAAGGAAACGTAAGGGCTAACTTTAGTAACGCTACTATATATGGAACAAAACAATAGGGCCTGCAGTGAAAAATAGTCTAAATTCAGCTCTTATAATAATTATACTACTCGTTCCCTTTATGTGCATTTTAAGTTTGTCCACAATAGCATGTTTTGCTGTTTTTTTTGTCCTAACAGTAGTCTAAAGGTACTATGTACCTAGTGATGGTTCTGATGGTAGACTGAAGGGTGTCTTTAGTGGGTGTGGCTCTGGCCCCTGGAACAAACAGCTGGTTCACGGAGTCAAAGAGACGAGAGAGAGAGCGAGACACATACGACTTCTCAAACGGAGAGAGGGCCTTCAGAAGAGCTGCCTCGTAGGTCGAGCTGGGGAAGAGGGGGGCATTAATTAGAATCAGAGTGAGAGGTGGCATTAACTAGAGTCACCACGTAAATATGATGCATTGCCTCCATATTAAGAATTGAACTGTTAGCAATGATGAAATGTCACAAAATTGTGCAGCACATACTATACTACCTTAGGAAAAATTACAAGTGCCGTGTTGAATAGTTGGGGACTTACCCAGTCTGGCCTCCAGATGAGGAGGAGGAGGAGGGAGGGTTTATATTGTAGAGAGAAGAAGGCGGAGTCTCGGGGGTTGCAAACTGCTCAATTCTCACCAGCAGTTCTGAGAAAATCTTCACCAGTTTTGGGTAGTCCGTCTCAAAAGCCTGGTTCATCACTATCGACGCTGCATGTGAATAATAATGTCGGAAAATGAAGCAAGTGCAGATTAACAACACTTACAGTAGCACGTGTAGTGTTATGGGGACACGTGAGCGACTATGATCAGGACAAAAGTTATTTCTGAGTAAAGGTTTTAGCTAGGGTTGGATTCAAAACACAATATTTTGAGACGTGAAGTGTATGCAGAAAATGGGGTGCATTGATGCGGGAAAGTATCTTTTTGCAAACACTGTCTATTTTTCCTTCCATAGAAGACCCTGCGATTATTAATAAAAGACGCTGTATTAAAGTTATCCGCCAACTCAATTTCCTCATTCAAGACATCATTAGCCTAGAGCTATTGTGTTCACTTTATAAACTGCATCTTTAAACCTACAAATGTATGTACTTAGCTTTCGATTTAGTAACAGGAAAACAAGCAGTAAAGAATGGGTTGCTATGGCAATATTGGTGGAAACAACAAAAGCTAATAACACCTTTGGCAGCCGCCACCAGCTCCACTCCCAAGTCTTCAGTGATGACCTCCCAGAAGTTGGTCAGCAGATGATGAGCTGGTGTCTGAGAGGGGGGAGGGAGAGCTCAAATCCCGAAAATCCGAAGTTAAAATAACTGCAAAGCATTTTTGGTGAGCGAAAGCAAGAGTCAAACGAGATTGGGACAATTTTCAAAATTAATTTGCGAAATTCCGTTGCATTTATTAAGAGTCATCATGGTATGTGTGTGACAGTGCTGTCGTCATGGAATATATGCTTTCATTTGGAAAATCATCCAAGTGGAAAATGCTGAAAGGGGGGGGGCAAAAGTGTGGCCCTAAATGAACCCCCTAATAATTAATATACAGTGGAAACCCCGGCACAATTGAGACGATAATAGGCTCACTTTGCTCCTCCTCCAAGTCAGAAAATGTAGTTTTAAAACTTACTCCATTGATGTTGTCCAGGAAGGAAACTTGAGTATGAGGATCTCTCTTCTTCACCAGTACTGTATGCAACTGATGTACCTGCAGCCATTAAAAATCACAGTTTCATTTCATCAGCACATATGTCCAATAACGCCACTCTCCATCCTACACCCTCCACCCTCCATCCTCCTTCCCACAGAGCCATACAAACCATGGTCTTTCTCTCTCAGTCACTGCCTCATACATTATTACCTGGCCATTGGCCTTGTGTATGGAGACTACAATGAGCAACCAACAGTTGTGGGCCATAGGCTTTCTGTATGGAGACTACCAGTTGGTACAATGAGCAACCAACAGTTGTGGTTTTACCTGGCCATAGGCTTTCTGTACAGAGACGACCAACTGGTCCAGTCTGGTCCAGAGCACTGCCTTCCAGGAGGCCGTGGTCCCCACGAGAGGCAGACTGGCTCTTCCTGGACCACTGCCTGTGGAGAGGGAGGGAGAGGAGGGAGAGGAGGGAGGTGGAGAGAATGAAGAGAATGAACACCAAGTGCATAATTGAATTTTTGTACTTGATCCTTTTCTACGCACTTCAGGAAGATTGGGAGAGCGAGGTTCACATGCAGGAGAAGGGATAGGAAGGAGGGCTTAGCGAGACATAAAGAACGTGAGCTGAAATATGCCTACAGAACTGTATAATACATAAGTCGGTGAAGTAGACCGATTGTTGGGGGAGTAAATTTAGTAATGTCATCGCGCTGTCTTCGTGTAATGTGCATAATTACACAATCAGACTCTACAAGATCATTTTGTTGTGTCGTCGTATGTAGGTTCAACTCATTGATATATTGATAAAGTACCACAGTCTAACAGTCTGCACACAGTAAGGGAGTACGCTACCGACTCAAGAACATCATTTGCAAGTGTATATACTACATGATCGTGCACTTTTCCTCCTACTACAGTAATGACAAGTAGGCTTTCCCATTAGGCAGCTAGTATTGTATTACGTTCAGTAGGCCCTCCGCATGTATGTGGGCTAGTAGGCTGTTAACGCTCCTACGCCCAGTAACAAACAAAAGTCATTATCATTATTGGTACAACACGGACCACTTCACGTGATCTCATAATGCTCGGAATATCAGCACAACGACTGCAGTATCACATTGAAATACATTATACTTCCTACATAGACACTGTACGTAGTCCTTGTTACGAACTGTTATTTGCACCACCTACATACAGCCCCAAAAGCCTTGCACAGAATACACAACTTATGGTACAATGTACATATCATAACTTTAGTGATGTAGCAGTAATATTCAAGGTATAGGTAATGTCTGTCTTTTGGGGGAGAGATATCCCACTTGATCAAAATCTTGCCCCCTCTCGAAGTTAAGCGTACCTTTTTTGCACACTTACAACATCGGGCTCTGCTGCACCCCTTCCCCCCCTTGAATCAATAAACAACTTTTTTGGTGTTTGGAAAAACTAATTTCCACGGATCATTTCAGGAGCGGAAAGAGCCCCCGCCCTACCGTTGGAGGAGAGGACGAGGGAGGAGGGGTCCAGAGAGTTCTGGATGTCGTGTTGAATGGCTTCCTTGTAGCCGGTGAGGATGGTGAGGAGGGAGGAGGGGAGCTGGGTGAGGTTGTGAAACACCTGCAAAGCCACGCCCACCTGGCTCGAGTTCTGGTGAGAGAGAGGAAGGGAGGGGGAGACAATGTGTCCACACATCCATATGATATTGCACACACTCACATGTGACCCCTATCATTACTCATTAATGTTACGTGGAATTTTAAAGGAATGTGACACAAGTTTCATAGCAAATCAGCGAAACGTGAGCAATTTTGAAAAATGGACGGTTCAGATAAATAGACTTGCCTTGCCAGTCAACTAACCATTAGCTGTTGCAATGATGTGCAATGGAGTACCAGTATTGAGTATGGAAAATCTCGCAGTTCAGAACTAACCATGAGCTCCAAGCCTTGCATGAGCATCTTCTTAGCCTGAGACTCCACCTCCCGCCTGGCTCGGGCTAGCCACACCCCCTCCTCCTCCAGAATTACCACTCCACTCAGATCTCCACTGCCTGACAACTGGTCTGAGGAATAGAGGTTTTTGCAGCAAGGGTTGTGTAAAATAATTTGAAGCAAGGATTGTAAAATAATTTGCAACAACGATTGTAAAATTGGTAAAATCCCCCATCAAACTTTCCTGCTTTACTATGGTATAAACGGCACAAGATCTTACCAATCTCGCTGAAAGTCTGAGCGACTTTAGTGATCTCCCTGGTCCCTCCTTGTAGCTGGGACTTCAGTCTCTTCAGTAGATATAGCATCCGGATCACCTTCCTCAGTAGGTCACACACATTCTGCAGGAGGGAGAGGAGGAGGCAGACTGTGGTATAGCAAGAAAGATTCCGAGACCAAAACCTGAGACAACTTACTAATAGTTCTCACGTAGAAGAGTTAGAATTTTATAATACCAATACAGGTGAATGTGCATCGAGTTCGAGAAGCTTTTGTAATACAATAATATGATGATACTTCGCAGGCAAAGCAATGTCCCCCCAAAATGTCATATATCGTGATTAGCAGACGGTTAGGGCAATGTCCAAATTTAGTGATTTGTCGTTTTAAGCATAGCAAACTGTATAAGAGTTTTACTTGCACTGTGTAGTTGTATATACATACGTCAGTGCTAAGTGAGTAGCTGACCTGAAGTCAAGAGAGCTGTCTAGCTGGTTAGGGCAACTACAAATTTAGTAATTTGTCTTTTGTGAGTGTGGCGATTTGCATAGTGATTATTGCACTGTGCAGTGGTCAGATTAACAGCTGACCTGGAGTCTTGAGAGCTGTCTGGTTCTTGATACTATGACCTGGTACGGGTCAATGACCTTTGACCCTATTCTGTCTACTGCCGTCCTTAGGGACTCAATCCTAGTGTGCATCATCTTCAGGACACCTTCAAGGAGGGAGGGAGGGATGAAGAAAGAGGAGATGAAACCCAATCACAATTTCTCCTTGTGTACACAGTTGCACCTCCTAAAAAGGCCCCTCTGAATAAAGGACACCTCTCAGTAAACCCCATATTACATTTGAATAATGGACACCTCTGAATAAAGGACACCTCTCAGTAAACCCCATATTACATTTGAATAATGGACACCTCTGAATAAAGGACACCTCTCAGTAAACCCATATTACATTTGAATAATGGACACCTCTGAATAAAGGACACCTCTCAGTAAACCCATATATTACATCTGAATAATGACACTTGAATAAAGGACACCTCTCAGTAAACCCCATATTACATTGAAAAGGACACCTCTGAATAAGGACACCTCTCATGTAAACCCAATTACATTGATAATGACCTCTGAATAAAGGACACCTCTCAGTAACCCATTATTACATTTGAATAATGGACACCTCTGAATAAAGGACAATTTCAATGCCCCAAAGTGTGTCCCCTATGCATTACCTTCCAAAGCCTCTATGCCAGTTGCCTGTGACAAAAGATCCTCATAATTTGTAACAACCTGCAAAAAACAAAATTAAGCAACAGTACCCGCTGTTCCTTTTGAAAAGGGGATTATGGTCTTACTTTCCGATAAAAACAAACATCCTGAATATCTTGAATATGCCTGATTAGTGGTGCAACTGCGGTTAAAAATGGGTTGCTTAAATTTTCGTACTTTTTCTGGGCAAGTGAAGTAAACAACAGGCCAACTGACTATACTGAATACCTTGACTATTGTTGGAGAGTGCAGTGCAAAAGGCTCTTTTAACTTTTTCGTACTTTTTCTGGGCAAGTGGAGCAAACAACAGGCCAACTGACTATACTGAATACCTTGACTATTGTTGGAGAGTGCAGTGCAAAAGGCTCTTAACTTTTTCGTACTTTTTCTGGGCAAGTGGAGCAAACAACAGGCCAACTGACTATACTGAATCTTGACTATTGTTGGAGAGTGCAGTGCAAAGGCTCTTTTAAAACTTTTTCGTACTTTTTCTGGGCAAGTGAGCAAACACACAGGCCAACGGACTATACTGAATACCTTGACTATTGTTGGAGAGTGCAGTGCAAAAGGCTCTTTAACTTTTTCGACTTTTCTGGGCAAGTGGAGCAAACAACAGGCCAACTGACTATACTGAATACCTTGACTATTGCTGGAGAGTGCAGTGCAAAAGGTTCTTTTACATTTTTCGTACTTTTTCTGGGCAAGTGGAGCAAACGACAGGCCAACTGACTATACTGACTACCTTGACTATTGTTGGAGAGTGCAGTGCAAAAGGCTCTTTTAACTTTTTCGTACTTCTTCTGGGCATGTGGATTTAACAACAGGCCAACTGACTATACTGATACCTTGACTATTGCTGGAGATTGCAGTGCAAAAGCTCTTTTAACTTTTATGGCATGTGGATTTAACAACAGGCCAACTGACTATACTGAATACCTTGACTATTGCTGGAGAGTGCAGTGCAAAAGGCTCTTTTAACTTTTTCGTACTTCTTCTGGGCATGTGGATTTAACAACAGGCCAACTGACTATACTGAATACCTTGACTATTGCTGGAGAGTGCAGTGCAAAAGGCTCTTTTAACTTTTTCTGGGCATGTGGATTAAACAACAGGCCAACTGACTATACTGAATACCTTGACTAATGTTGGAGAGTGCAGTGCAAAAGGCTCTTTTAACTTTTTCGTACTTTTTCTGGGCAAGTGGATTAAACAACAGGCCAACTGACTATACTGGATACCTTGACTATTGATGGAGAGTGCAGTGCAAAAGGCTCTTTTAACTTTTTCGTACTTTTTCTGGGCATGTGGATTAAACAACAGGCCAACTGACTATACTGAATACCTTGACTATTGTTGGAGAGTGCAGTGCAAAAGGCTCTTTTAACTTTTTCGTAATTTTTCTGGGCATGTGGATTAAACAACAGGCCAACTGACTATACTGAATACCTTGACTATTGCTGGAGAGTGCAGTGCAAAAGGGTCTTAACTTTTTCGTACTTTTTCTGGGCAAGTGAAGTAGACAACAGGCCAACTGACTATACTGAATACCTTGACTATTGTTGGAGAGTGCAGTGCAAAAGGCTCTTAACTTTTTCGTACTTTTTCTGGGCAAGTGAAGTAGACAACAGGCCAACTGACTATACTGAATACCTTGACTATTGTTGGAGAGTGCAGTGCAAAAGGCTCTTAACTTTTTCGTACTTTTTCTGGGCAAGTGAAGTAGACAACAGGCCAACTGACTATACTGGATACCTTGACTATTGCTGGAGAGTGCAGTGCAAAAGGTTCTTAACTTTTTCGTACTTTTTCTGGGCAAGTGGAGCAAACGACAGGCCAACTGACTATGTATATTGAGTACTTCAACTCTTATATATAGCTATGCAGCTGAAGTTCCGCATGCATTTGCTCGCCCAGGTAACCCCTACCTGTCAGTAGTATAAATTTATATTACCTGAGAGTATAGTTCCTTGTCAAGAGCGGCGATGCCGATGGCCAGTTTCTGGAGGGTGTCTCCCACCATCTGATTTTGCATGGTGGCCGCTGCAAACGACTTCGCCTCGAACCCCTCCTCCAGGAGAGGACTCAGGCAGGCTGCAGAGGGTTAATTAATGAGGAAGTATGGCTGGATGAAGAGGGTTGAAAAAATGTAGGTTTGTGCATGTCTATTATTGCAAGTACTAATGTTGCGCTATAAATATCGGTTTGTACAGCAATATAAATTGTCTTACCATCCTCAATCACAGCAGGGTCTGCAGCCATCGGACACCGGCTCCTATGGCGATCTACAGCCTCGAGTTTCGCACTGCGACTCTAATACATGCGCACCTTATATCATTCCAATTAATGCGCACCAAACAGGGTTCAAAGTCCGCAACAAAAACCTTCCGCATGCGTTATTTGTTATGCGCGTGCGCTAAATCATACCCATAAACCTATACAAATCTACATAATATAGTGTACAACAAGACAGTTCATTACTAGTCTCTTGAGAGTTCTACTAGAGGGCGATTCCCTTCTGGCCCAGCATGGCCTGCAGGATGGAGTCCAGACACTCCGCCACATGTAGGTTTGGGGCACAGCAGAGGGCCGGGTAGTTGTCTGTTGTCATAGTAATCACATAATGGAGTAAAAATCATAGGTTTGTAATAGGAATGTTGGCATGTGTGGTGCAGTTTAGAAAGAGCAAATTTTAAAAGTTTAAAGCAAGTTAGTAACTGCATACAAATACAGAGCATTGTAATCATCTCTCTAAGGATGACAGAGCCATTAACTGACCGTCGCAGTCTCTGGCATTGAGGTCAGCTCCTCTCTGGACCAGCTCCTGGACCACTCGAACCAGACCGGTCTTTGAGGATATGTGCAGTGGTCTGCAAGTTATCACAGCTTAGTGAACACTGCAACAAATCAACAGTGCATGCACAAATGTGAACAGAAACACACGTTTTCTGGTCGCTGTTGGCCATTTGTATGACCTCATCAGAACATTTCTCTAGAATAGCCATTGCACAATCTTCATGACTCTACAGAGAGAAGGTGGACAAAGGGAGGGAGAGGGGGAAGGATAATATCTTAAAACAGGGATGGGTGATTATATGTAGCTGCTATTACAAATTTACCAGGGGTATTAACTATAATGGCCCCAAAATCGTACATTTTGTATTTAGAGCCCCCCAAAATCTTGGAATTTAAACATCTGGCAAGCAACACCCACTCTGACCTGAAGGCAGGCAAGATGTAGAGCTGTGTTGTCCTGTTGGTCTACGTGGCACAAGTCTAACTTCTCCACCGGCAGACTCAGTCGAGACATCAGCAGATCTTCACAAAACGTATGAAATACATTACTGGCAAGCAAGTGCCAAAATTCAGCCTATTTACGTACGATGTGTGTACGGTGTTCTAGAAATAGGGAAACGTATCATGGTATGGGCAGCATAACCACTTGTATGCAGAAAATGGGAAATTCCGACTAATTCGGGACCTTCACTTTGCTGACAAACTAAGTGGCAGAGTCAAAGAGCTTAGGTCTTAACTGCATTGTAGACCGCCTGAGGAGATTAGTAGTACATACCAATGACGTTGGTGTGTCCAAAGTAGGCAGCCATCATTAGAGGAGTTCGCCCCATATTGTCAGCCAGATTAGTGGCACCTCCGCGACTCACCAGCAGCTGCATGCAGTCTATGTTGTCACTGAACGCTGCTGCATGAACTGCCGTCCTGGGGGGGAGGGAGAGAGGGAAGATGAACGA